GGGTTTCGATTGCCACCACAGTTTTTATTGGAAACAGCAAGCCATAACATTATCAGACAATCAATTAAAATGCTCCAAAGCTCCAACAGCACACACAGAGTGACTCGAGCCGATGCTGTTTGGATCGAGCTGATTGTGTAGCGACACCAACGCAGCCACGCCCTTAACTACGGATCCAGATGTATAAATTACAAACTTTCAACCTACTAAGGGTTGTGATAAGGGAGGAAACTATTCATTAGAGGTCAAAACAGTTTTTGCATATTTGCTGTAAAGTTTTGGCCACTTCGGGAATGACTTTATTTGTTAGACCCTTAGTTTGATAGGATAGGATAGGATAGGATAGGATCTCACACTATCATTACAGGTGATCATATATAATAAGTGAAACATCGTGGGAAATCAAAAGATGAGTTGTTTTCTCCCGTTTTGGATGATTGTTTATAGCTCCATCAGACAACCTTCTTCTCCATCCTGCAGATGCATTTTAAGAATTGAGAAATCTTTAAGCATGATGTAATGCAATCGATTTAAATGTGACCGATACAGAAGAGAGGAAAAAACAAAAATGAGAGGGGTGAGAAGGCTTCCTGATTCTCTTCACTTGCATTTAGTCTTTTACCATATCAGTTGTCATTTTGCCTTTCTGCATCTGCTGTCTTGTATGCTTTGTGGTTTTAATGGTATCTGCTCTGTGGTCTTAAGTCATTTTTGTTTCTTCTTTTCAACTTTTTACACAACATCTTTAAGGGTAATCTAGCAGTAACTGTGCAACATTAATAAATTGTAAAGATGAGTAAAGAAGACTAAATTTGCAGCATTTTCTGTAAGTGCTGCCAATCAAAACTTTGCTTTTTGCTTTAAAACCCCCTAAAACTAACTGTTATCTATTTCTCAAATGAACCACCAACCACTGTTTCAAGAGAGATCATATTTGTTCTCTGAGGTCTGTTCAACAGCATTCTGAAAAATGTGGGAAACAGCCGTGCCTGCAGAGAAAAAAACAGATAACATGCAAACAGAATGGATGTACTCTGTAATCCCTTTAAACACCAACGAGGCTGGGTTTCTTTAAGTTGCTCTCAGACAGGGTGACTTCATGTGAATGGTCACTCTCAATTGTACTAAACTGAATTTTAGTGACTCTACAACCTCTAAAAACTCCACTGAGACGAGACCAGAGATACTAGGCTTGTAAAGGTTATGCAGATCCTGTATCCGTGTATTCATCTCGGTGGACAGACTTTCACAACAGCATTTACATCACGTGACATCCGTGCAGCTTCGCTTACTGTCTGTGCATTAGTATTAAGATTGGAATCTGGCCTGCAGAACAAACGCAGATGGCGCTTTCCTCAAATCATGTGGGAAATTTGTGGCGAACATGATATATCATGAGACCCTGTGTCTACACTGAAAACCATGAAAGCACTGAGTGTATGTGTATGAGCTAAAACATAAACACATCTTAACAACTGAACACAATATGATAATCGGAGATGCCTTTTGGGTTGCTGCTTCAAAGACATTTAGGCAATTATGCTCGGGTCAGATTCCACACCAGACTAAAAGAAAAATGGACTGATGGGATTGACTTTGCGCACCAGAAAACTGACTTGCTGAAACAGAAAGCTGTCTCAGCCACAGCTGGCAACACTGGATGCATCAAACGGATCCACTTTCTCAAAGCTGCTAGCTAATTTATGCAAAATGTGGCTTTTTGGTGTGCGTGCTGTGATGCACTGCTTGATAGCATAAAATAGAGTGATGGTTAGTCTGAGTACATAACTCACATATTAACTAAGTTGGTTGTTAGGTACTAAATCTACACATGTTTTTATGAACTAAGCCTAACAAGCAAGTAGAAGCGAAAGAAACACCAAGAGAGTAAAAAGAATCCAAGTGCAAAACACTAAGATGCCAACAGGAAGTAAACCAGATGTCCTGGGTAATGACCTTGGAAGTGTGCCATCGTTACCACACCTCCAGCCTCACAAAGACTTTGCATGTGTGTTAAACATAGACATTATACAAGAGTATTCCAACAAAGAGTACAGACACAGTAAAGAGTTCCAGATCAGTGACTCAGATCAGACCGGATGACGTCCACTGACACTGGCTGTGTTGTAGAGTTGGTATGAAAAGAAAAACTATCCTCAGAGGCCAAGGCCAAAGCTAGTTCTTTTTTGTTTTGTTTTGGTAATAGTATGCAAATGTGCGTTTTTGGGCTATTTTAATTAGAGCTAGCACGATACCACTTTTTTATGTCCAATACCGATATCATAAATTTGGATATCTATCGATACCAATATGAATCCGATATAGTGTATTTTTTAATCAGTAAAACTTTTTTTTAAATATCTTGCTGCATTTTGTATAAGTTCAAACTAAAGTTTAAAAACAAAACAAAACAAAACACTAAAGCTATTCTGTTATATTTGTATACAAAAAAATACACTGCACCCAAAATATTTCATAGTTCAGCAATACTGATCAATCTAATAAACTTAAACCTACACCATCCTCCCTATTCTGGTGTTTTAAAGAGTACTTAGTGGAAATATTAAGCAACCTAACCAATAGGGTTGTCAACTACCAGCAGAAAAAAATAGATAACCACCCCCCACCCTCTGCCTCGTGATGCTTAATCGAGGTAATCAACTTTAATTTAATGCACGTGTAAAAGAAATGCACAGAAATCAAATATTTTTCCATAATAATTAAATAGATTCAACATCTTTCTTCAACAGAATTGCAGACTGCACAGATGGTACCTTCCCCAAAGGAAAAAGTACTATAGCTTACTAGGGTACATTAGATGTAATAGTTACTATATACAGTAATGGACTTATATACATTTTACATCAGATTAAAACTTTGGGTGTAAGATTCAGATAATTATTTAATAAAAGCTACACATTTTAAATGAGAATAAGAAGGAAAAGTATTTCTTTGTATCCCCCCTTTTCCCTGTTAATGCCCTATCGGCCCCCCTTGCATAACTTTGCTAGATCCGCCCCTGCACAGTTACCAGCTGTCAGCTAAGTAGAAAAGGATCCTGGTGTAGAAAGTAATATTAAATACATTCTAACAACAGCTTATCAAGCTTAAACGTGCTGCTGTTGTTCAGCCGCTGGTTTCCTCTTTCTGGTGCAAAGTGGGCCAAAAACTAACAAGAGAGACCTGAGTCGACAGAAAAGCCGATCAGCTGATCATTGATCAGTTTCATGATTGAAGTAGCAGCAGGAGAGGGAGGGGGAGAGAAGAAGCAGTCGCTCCATATATGGGTTGTTAAGATTAACGTGGGAATGCTTTACAAACATTCAGAGATGAACTTACACACTTGCTTTACTTCTCTCTGGAATAACTTTCTCAGAGAAGAAATTCCGGTTTGGTAGCGAAGCTCCAAATGCTCAACCAGACTGCCTACAGGTCTCACTTGCCACAGCGCAAGGCAAGCATAGGCTACTGCTCCGACGTGCTAAGGTTATGAGCTGAGTTACGCAATGTCGCAAGTTTTGTGAGTTGCTTTCGTGATATTTAATGGATCAATTACATTTTTTATTTCTCTCCGATATCCGATCCAGTAATTTAGGTCAGTATCAGACCGATACCGATAGGTAATATCTGATCGGTCCCTCTCTAATTTTAATACTGGCGAATGTGGAGATTTACTGGCTTTTGGAGTGAGCCTTAAGTGGCATCCACAAGAACTGCAGTTTTTTGCGCTTTAATGTTGGATTAACTTTTAGCCTCTTGAATCATAATGACCTTAACTGAGTGTAACCTAAGTGACAGGAAAAACAAAGTCCACTTAACTGCCCTTGTGATTTTTGAAAAAATGTTATCCCCCCCCCTCTTTTTTTGATCCAGCATCCCTCAGTCATCCATTCTCTTTTGCTTCTCCAGTTTTGAGCTGAGCCTGTCAATATCAATAAAATCAACAAGAAAACAGATACCAGAAATTTTTTATCCCCAGTCATTGTGTTCTGTACTCCTTACTGTATTTGGTGTACCGTGTTTAGAAGTTTTATCCCAGATGAATACAAATAAAGTACCTCTTGGTGGCTGACTCATAGCTTAATGAATCTGTCTTGTATCTGCTGTTGTATAGTGGAAGCTTTGAACAATAAGCAGATTTGCATATTTAATCACACTGACAAAAGGAAAAAGAGTCTGTATTTTTAGTGCTGAACTAGTCCCGCAGTTTTGAGACAACTGCCAGAAAAGCTTCGCTAAAACATGTGGATTAACCGGTCATAGTTTGCTATGGTTGTTGTTTGAGATCTGTCGTGCAGTTTTTACAAGATTTGTGAGGAAATTTGGAATTAATATTTCAGGACCCTGAAAGCCAGAGGGATAAGGCCTTGAAGAGGTCAGACCTTCTCTCTGATATTTTGTATTGTCTTGTTGCTCATTATATTGCTAACCCTAACCCTAGCCCATAACTCCCAACAGAGCATCTGTATACTCAAAAGTTCTTCCCAGCTGGTTTTCTGGTTCTTCAAGTGTCTCATTTGCATAATATGTCACGACACTATACCTCACCTCCAGCCAAATGTTAGCTATGATAGACTATAGCCACACAAGTGGTTATGGATAGATAGGCATCAATTATGCTACATAGTTGTATAATAAGCAGCCAAAATTATGTAGAACTTCAAACATTACACCCACACACTACTGCGTACCACATGGGAAAAGGAATTTTTATCTATTTTTTTAAATCTCAACTTGAAAAAATATTATACATCCCTTGTTTGTTCACATAAGATTTCAAGAGGAAAAAAGACTTTGTGACTTTTCACCTTATTTTAAACATTGTAGCCATTTATTTCTGAATCTCCCATTTAGACTGCAATCAGGCTCCCACTGCATGCATGGGCTTCACAGCACAGTGAGTTGTTTCAGGAAGTTAATGAGCAGGGCTTGTTGTTGAGAGGGTGGAGTGTTCCTCTCAAACACAAACAAGCCGTAAAGTGCTGCAGGGGAGAGGGAAGTGGGAGGTTAGCATAGCAGACAAGAGAAACACTCCAGTCCTGAGTGTCGCTCCACGTCAGTGTTTGTTCCCGTAGAGGACTTAAATTGCTCTGTCTGTACTCATGAGGATTTACGGTGTACTGGCATCATGAGTGAGTGTTTGCACCTCTGTAATCACATGTAAATTTTTGCTCCAGCTGTGGGGGGTTGGGGGACATATTTCAGGCAAGGGCGTGGATTTCTTCGGAAACACAAACCTCATTGAGATAGGTTGCGGTTGTGCTGCTTCTCTATGAAAGCTTTGGCTGGTGGTCTTTACCGTAAATGTGTGCACAGAAAAAAAGAAAAGGGAAACTCCCAAGAGGCCTTGTTTTGGATTTGGAAATGGTTCAGAAAGTATTTTTGAATGAAAATGGCTAGTGTGATCATAATTTTTTCTGTATTTGGGACTTAAGATTTATAAAACAAACAAGTAGGGCCTTATTTTTAAGCTTCAGTATCGTCAGAGGCATGATAGGTGCTGTAACTATGGCAGCTGTTTGAAAAAGGAAAATGAAAAGAACATCTAGATAATTCAGAAAACGTTGAAAAAGACTGGTAAACCCACACATACAAGGTTTACTTTTTCCTGCACAGAGGAATTTTGAACAGCTAAGAGGTTTATTCAGATCCAGAAGAAAATGACAAGCATTAGAATGATTTTTTAATGCATTTATGTTTACCAGAGTTTTGTTTATCAAATGCTTAACTTGTGACAGACTACAGACTGCACCAGAAGTGAAAGTGAAACTTTGTAAGAGGTAGTGATGAATGGCTTCAGAGCCAGTGGCACTGATAAAAAGGCAGGAGGCCGAGCTCAAGATGTCCATATATTAATCGAAAGTGAGAGTGACCAGGATGAACAAGGTCAAAAATGAGTACATCAGAGGGATAGCTCAACTTGAGCAAGGGTCGAGGCTGCGATGGTTTGGACATGTGCAGAGGAGGCTTGATGGACATATTGGACAAAGGACGCTGAATATGGAGACGAGGAGGTGTGACAGAAGAGGATGCTAGTTATAGGCTGAGATGGAGACAGATGATCTACCGTAGTGAGCCCTAAAGTGAACAGGAAGAAGAAGAAGAAGAAGAAGAAGAAGAAGAAATGAAGAGTAAGAGGCTTTCTTCCCTTGTTTTTTCTAACTTTATGTTTTGATTTATGACCCTCAAATCCCCATTTTGAGTCCTGACAAAGCTTCAGACTTCAGCTGTATGAACCACAACACGTATCATATAAAGTCTGGTCACTTTATTAGATACACTTTGCTAGTAGCAGTTTGGACGTCTTTTTTGATCCATATTGACACGATAGCATCATGCAGCTGCTGCAGATTTGCTGGCTGCTAGATGCAGGGATGTTTTACCAATATTCTTTTGTCCAGTTTTGGTGAACTGTAGCCTCAGTTTCCTGTTCTTAGTTGTCAAGAACAGCACTTCGAGTGATATTCTGCTTCAAAATTTGAAGTGTTGAGCATTCAGAGATGCTCTTCTACATATTTTGGTTGTAATAAACAGACCACCCAGACCAGCCCACCTGACACCAACAGTCATGTTTTGATCAAAGTCACTTAACTCACTTCTCTTATGTCTTCTCTTCTTTATGAGTTCAGTCACAAAGAAAAGAAAGCATTAACTGTGTAAAAACATGGGTAGAAATGGGGGTGGAGGGTTATAAGATTAAAAAAATTGCTGGTGTTGACAAAAAAATAATCCAACATTTGCTAAAACCTTACACTAGTTATATTCATTTTACTAAAAGTTATTCTTCAATGTGTTCTTGCAGACAAATTTGTGAAATTATGACAAAGAATCTTTTTTCAAAGAAGTCATAATGTGGTTAAACCTTTGCATCATTTCAGAAGTGCTACAAAATGTAATCCTGGGAGAACTGCCTGATGTCAGGTGTTTCAGTAAACCATGCAGAGTAGGATTGTGGCACAGCCACTCTGCTCTGTGTGACGGAGGAGAGAGCCAAGCTTGTGATGACTGTTTACTCAGCCCCACTCTGAGTGAACACTGCCACTATTCATCCCATGCCAGCACTGGAAAAATCAGACACACACATACATATACACACATATACAGCAGGCGTACAAAAATGCTCCATTATGTGAGAAATCTGTGAATTTTCACAACTTTGTTACAGGAAAAACAGAAACTTATTTAAGTAATAAGGCGTAATATGGTTTTTTGTTAGTTCTGAATGCTTTAATGGACTAACTTCGCTCTTACACATCTGCTTAGGTCAGGTGAGCAGCAGCTTTTGGTGCTGGCATCTCATTGGAGATTTCAGGTCATCTCCAATTTAAAGCCCATCTTTCCTGGATGATATTAATCACACCTATTAATCTTCAGCGCTCTTTATTCTTTTTCTTTTTTAATGCTGTAACTTGTGTCTGACGTTGTGCAGCACACCAGTCAGTGTTTGTCATGCCAAAATCTGGTACACAAATAAACAGTCTTGACTCACCTTCCTCTCTCACACAAAGGGACAGTTTGTACCTTGAGAGCATTCACAGGAAAACTCGTGGTACACCTTTGAGGGCAAACTTTTCCAAGAACTCCGCGAGGGAACAAAAAACAAAATGTAATGTGAGGGTAAAATAATAATAAAAATAATGGAAAAAAAAGAAAATGGAAAAGTGGCAGTAAAAATACCAAATCACCACAAATATGTTCTGTATTTCAGTTCAAAAACATGTTTTTGTTTTAGTAAAAACGGCTCAGTTATAAAACGTCATTTCATGTCACGTGTACGACTATGGAAACAAAAGTAAAAAGTGCAACACCGCCACCTCGTGGACAAATGACATCAGTGCAGCTTCTTTGTCTTTGTCTCTCACAGACTTTGATGTAAGGCACAGGTGTTGAACTCCAGGCCTCGAGGGCCGGTGTCCTGCAGGTTTTAGATGTGTCCTTGATCCATCACAGCTGATTTAAAAGGCCAAATTACCTCCTCAACATGTCTTGAAGTTCTCCAGAGGCTGGTAATGAACTGATCACTTGATTCAGGTGTGTTGACCCAGGGTGATATCTAAAACTTGCCGGACACCGGCCCTCGAGGCCTGGAGTTTGGCACTCGTGATGTAAAGTTTCCTTTGCTTCTAAAATATTTACACTCAGTCCACTTTATTAGGTACGTTCGTTCAACTCATTTCTAATGAGACACATGGTGGAAACTCCCCCTAATGGTGAGGAAAGGTGATTTAAGAGACTTTGAAGTAGTGAGAATAATCTGAAAAATAGAATAGAATAGAATTCAACTTTATTGTCATTGCACATGCACAGGTACAGGGCAACGAAATGCAGTTTGCATCCATCCAGAAGTGCTTTAGTGATATAGATATATTACAATAAATATTAGCAATAATATAGATATGTAAATATATTACAGAAATGGGTCTATTATGGTATGTTATAATGTACACGGTATGAAGTATGTTGTGAATATTCTATAACTATAAGTATGTACAGGCTGTAGTGAGTACAAGCTATGTACAGGCTATGAACAGGATATAAATATGAAAAACTATACAGAATATGAAATAAATAACTTTACAGAATCTGAGATATACAGCTATACAGAAATGGGAACTGTGCAAGTTGTAAACAGTTGTAGGGTTAAAAAGTACAGAATGATTATTACAGAGCTATACAGTAGTGCAGTTAAGATAAGTGAGATATGTGGATAATTCTACAGAGGCTATATAAAGTGCTAGTGGTTGTGAGTGGTGGTTCAGTCCATGTTATTATTGTGTGTTTGAGGGTACAGTTGTCCATTGTGGTGTGTGTGTAGGTGGTTGTGGGTGTGTGTATGTTCAGTCCATGTTTTAACGTGGGTCAGATGTCAGGAGGCAGAGTTCAGAACATACCCAGTGAGCAGCAGAAAATGGCTTGTAGATGTCAGAGGTCAGATTGTTGGCTACATTGTTTCGATAGGAAGGCAACAGTAATGCAAATAACCACTTGTTATGACCAATGAATGCTGAAATGCATCTCTGAATGTACAATCCTTGAAGCAGAATATCTATAGCAACAGACCACACCAGCTGCCACTCCTGTCAGCTACAAACAGGAAACTGAGGCTGCAGTTCGCACAGTTGATTTATGTACCTTTGCATTTTTGAAATTTTGTGTTTCAGGTGCTGTATGTTTGATTTCTTACAGGCTTTGGAAATACACTGTGCATTTCTTTATACATATACTCACCATTTGTAATATAATAACTGAAATAACACAAATTTATATGAAGAAATGAACAGATAAACTGTCACAATATGCACAACGCATGGAAAGAATGAGGTGGGCCCAAATGCAGACAACTGAGAGATGGAGGTAAAAGTTTAACAAAAAGCGAGCCTTTATTCTTGGCTGCACAAAATACTACAAAACAAAAGGCAAGGGTGACTAAGATAACTAACAAAAACCTAAACTGGGATAAATTTAAAATTACAGACTACTTGAAAACTAGGAACCTGGAAACACGTGAGGAACAAAGAAAAACACACACAACTTATACACAGAGGGTAACAAGGGAATACGCAACAGGAGGGAGACACAGCTGAACCTAATATGACATGACGAAACAAAGGGGAAGCAAAACTCAAAACAGTGAAGTAAAACAGACTGTCGAAGTAAAACAGGAACCAAGAGTCATTCACAAAGATACAGACTTGACACTGATATGAGGAACAGAGGGAGCAGAAAAGGATGAATAAACATGAAGACAGAATGAAACCTACACTGGAGACATGACACACTAAACATGGGAGGCACAGGAACAAAACCTAAGAACTACAAATCACTGTATATAACCATTAACTAACTAAAATGAAGCATATTAATAATAAAAAAAACAAAACAAAACACGGAGCCACTAGGCTCTGGGCCATGACATAAACTCTGATAAAGAGGAGACTATAGATTTTAGAGGTAATCCTGGAAAAGCAGGTGCAACAGCACATTCAGATCACAAGTCTGATTGCACGAGCTGGCTGCAGGTTCCCTCAACCTTATAAACCTTTATAAGGGTGGGGAAACAGGCAGTTGGATGAGTGACGAAACGTATCTCCCACTGAAAACGCTGCGTCCAGATGAACAGAATCAACCTTTTGGGGGCAACGGAATAATGAATCACAATATTCAGTGTGTGATGAAATAAAAGCATGTGTACTTATCAGAGGCAGTATATATTTAAGATGGGAAAAGTTCCACAGATGATTTAAAAAAAAGACTGCTTATCAAAACTGAATTCCTGCTCAAAAGTTACAGCCTGATTTTTCACATTTGGGAGAACTGAAGATGAAGATGCTCAATTAGCGTGGGAACCAAACTCTCAGATCCAGACCCAAACAATCCAAAGCTGATCCAGGGATGCCCACCCAAGATACCATGATCAATAGTGTCAAAAGCAGCAGAAAGAGCCAACAGTACACGACCCGAACAATCATTTGACATTTAATAACTCTCTATGCTGGCCATTTGTGGTCACTTCACTTTCTTTTCTTTGATCATTTTTGCTGTGTTAATGCATATGGAATGAAACTTCCCAAGGGTCTCAATTTGTTTTCAGATTTTTAAATTTTTTAACCTCAGCTCCTTAAATATATCAGTAATATACTCTATACATCCAGTTGTTCCTCTTGGCCACTTTTGGCCAATTGAAACCGTTTAAATGCCTTTGCCCTGTGGAAACCACTTCACAGGAGTGGGAATCTTCTATTCTTGTTGTCTTCTTGTTGTCTTCCAACAAGTACACTGTACAAACAAACTGGTGTTTTAATGCTTAAAAATATAAAAAATTAATGACTATTTTACATTTAAGAAAAGAAATGATGTTAGTTAAAAACATCATACAGAAAAAATAGAAAGAAAACTTCAAAACAATAAAAATTACAGACCTAATCTGTTGGTGGACACTTTTGGCCATGAACAGGCTGAAAGGATAGTGATTTTAAACAAACAAACGCAGGGTTTAAAAAATAATGATAATAATTAAAAAATATAGTTTTTGGTAAAGTGCTTCTGGAAAGTTATCTAAGAAATTATGAGCAGATAGGACCTTTGTAATTTGGCTGGCACCTATGTTTTATCCCACCATATTATTGAAGAGCTGTCTTGGATGACTGATATTGAGTCACGATGGAGGGAGTAAGATAGATGACTAAGAATCTGGAGCTTTGTGCATTTCCACAAACTCTTCTGGTAGCTTAGCTTGAAGCTGTGAATGCTGTTGTTCAGAAAAACGAGTGAGAGAGAGTAGTAAATTTGTTCACCTTTAGTAATCTTCAGTAAGTACTTTAGTAATCTGCTGTTCAAATGAAGAGATATTTTCTTATATTACATTTGATACTCTGTGCTCACCCATTAGCACATGACGCTATCATGT